TGTGAAGTTCTATCAGGAAGAGCCCAGACATTAAAGAGGATTTAGCTGGCAACGTGTTATTTCGCTGTAGCTTTCTCAAAAGCAGGTTTGGAACCAGTGGTTGTTGGTCATGATGAATGGCTCATGTAGCCACAAAGTGTGATTCCCAAACCTGGCTAGGATTTGGAAACCACACCTAGGAAACTTATAGAAACATGTGATATATATTTCAGGGTTCTGAAAATATGCAAAAAACATTCCCTGAAATGTTTATAGATAGATGTATTTTGAAAAATTTCCCACTGGACAAGAGCCCATGCCCACTTGTACTGTATTTGAGTTCACCTGCCTCGTCAGTAGATTGTAGGCTCTTTGAGGGCAGGAAGCATGTCCTTGCTCTATTGTCAATCCACCATGCCCAGAACTCATGGAATGCTCAGGACATTGAAGGAATGAATGAATATGTGATGCTTGTAATCAGCTTCCCAGGATAAGCCAACTACATTCTCTGACATCTTGTAGAATTAATTACTTTTTGATGTGACTGTGTTTAGATTTTAAATTAGGCCTCAGCGGTGAAAGGCCAGCACATTACTGACAGCCCATTTATCTAGTACATAGCACTCTTCTCTAAGTTATCGCCCAGGGAAGCCCGTTGCATTAGGACAGTGATATCAGCATCGTGTATAAATGCGAATCTATATTGTGGCCATCACTCTTTTTTAAAAGCCAAGTGGTTGATAGTGGTACGGTAGGCTGTTCATTGAAGTTTGAGGGTTTATGGGAAAATTGTCAGTGAAATAGTTGATATCTGGCAAACTTTCAAACAGGGTTCTACTTAGAAATAACTTTAAAAAATTATTTTTAAAAAATTTCTTGGCGTGTGTCATTCTTAGTGGCATTGGATTCAAATTTGGAAGGAAATCTTGCTTCAGATCCCCTTTCACTTATATATTGTTCTGGAAAACTCTAGCATGCCTTGTAATTACACTGGCTTCAGTTTTATTTAACTGGAACCTGATAACTATTGCTGGAATATAGCCATAATTTTAATGTTGCCGATTCTTCAGTTTATTAGTTCTTCATGACTTGGGGACCTTGTCTGATTTAAGACTAAGTATAATGACTAGTGTGAACAAAAGTTAAAGGGCAAAACTGTCCAGAAGTTATATATCAAGGATGTGTAGTTAGCTATACAGCAAAGCATTTATTGTAGGGAATGAAACAAGCTAAAATAACATTTGGCATAAGCGTTAGTCTTAGCCATTTTAATTATATTCCTTTAGATAAAGATAAGTAATTATATAAAGTTTTGGGAAGTTCCTACATTGCTTAACTGTACATGTTGAAATTATATATGATTATTTTGCATTTAATATCTGAAGGTTGTTGCATGATAAATTTTCAGATTTTGATGGGCAGCCCTCTAACTGTACCAACCTATCCGTTATAAATGCTGTTCTGGAGCAGGAAATAACTAAACAATGCTTGGGTCTGTGTTTACCCAAGAGGAAAGAAGCAGCTTTCTGGGATGAGTTGTGATTTTATAATATAATGAAATTTATATTTTTAAAATCAATTTTTAGAATAACTTTTGGTTATTTCTGATTGGTCATAGTTAATGAGGGAAACTGTCATCTACTTTTGTAGATTTATAACATTTTGCATCTCAGAATTCCTTGAAGTATGGATAGCTAAAGGAAAATGTGAATAACCAGGGATTTTAAGCCTGAACAAATTTTGAAAGGCTAATCTATAAAAAGGAGATTTGCCACCTTCAGCATAACTCCAGATGAAAAGAGGCAGGTCAATGGAGAGAAGTTACACAGGGATTTTGGAATAAATTTTAGATAGAGCTTGTTAATAAACTATACCCAACAATGAGTTATCGTAAGGACATGTAGTGAATGTTCTGTGCTGGACATTTTTAAAGAGAGGATAGAACCTGTCAGGAATATTTTATAAGGAGAGAAGAAAACCTGCAGTAAATCAACACTAAATGGCTATTTGAAATATGAGTATGTGTAAATCTAATTTCTTCTCCATTCTTGGTCTCATTTATGAGGTGTGATGCCTGCTGTGGCATTAGATTGTGTTAACAATTATATTGATGGTTGAATGCTGACATGAAGTTTAACCCACTCTCTCTTCTTATTTTAATTTCATTTTTATCTATCCATTAATGGGATTATGTTCACCTTCTTAGCAATGTTACTGTGTCTTTCTTTTTTTTTTTAAATAAAAGGAAGGAATATAAACCATTCGTAACACCAGTATCATAGAACTCCTATTATATGCAAGCACCAGAGGCAAGGTCAAGGTGTCAGAATTCATCATGTCACAGTGGCCTTACTCGATCCCTTTATTCTTTGATCTCTGGAGCCCTGTTGTCCTGATGACAGATCATCCTGAAATGGGAAGTGCTGACCTATCAGAAATAAATAGCCAGAGATTATTCTAACAAATGACTAAAAAATATGAATTCCATTATAAACTCCTAACTCATTCCACAAAAAAACATATGAATCAAATAAACGCTGTATTTTGAAAGTCACTTAGGGTTGAATTCAGGTTAGTAGCAATGTCTTTTTGGCAATTACCCGGGCTCAGCCATCATTCTTGGCAAAGGTCACACAATTCTGTTTTAGGAATGAGGTCAGCAACACACCTTATGCTAGTGTGCTACTAGATCAACTTCCCAAATGAAGTTTATAACCAAGAAGAAAGTCATAGCAGAAGAGATACAGTAAATGAAAAAATTAGCAATAAGTAAGACTGTAAAAATCAAGTCCATCATTTCAAAGACGACTTAGTTCTAAGTAAGTTTTAAGACTACTGAGGTCTCGTTTCCTGACCAGAGTATATTAATATATGTTAGACTTTAAATTTTAAATAGGATTTTAGTAGGCCATGTGTAATGGGCATTGCAGTCCATCAAAAAAGATAAATAAGGCAGCATTGTTCCATGCCTTACATTTCACAGCCTTCTTTGTCACCTGGGTATGCCATATATTAATCTCTAATTTATATTTGGTTGGTGAAATGTCATTAATTTTTTTTCCCTAGATATTTGACGTGTTTTCAGGCATTTTCTTGAGAATGGCCTAACTTGGGCATGTTGGCAATCATAGAACTGTTGTTTCTATCACTCACTGCTTGATTTTGTCTTGGTGGGTCTTGGCCACAGAGACAACTGCAGGGAAGGCCAGAGCCCTTCCAAGCACTTTACTGGTCCCAGTCTCCGAGGCCACATCAGTTATTTCAGGTTTAAAAATTCTTGTTTCTTGCCTCCAGCCTTTATTTTAAAACTGACATAAAAGCAAACTTATCAAGGGCGCCTACTGAATGAAATGCTTTCCTTGACTTAAAAATGCTCCATAAAACTGGGGCTAACCACAACTCTGGCCCCCCAACATGGAACAACTATCGTTCAGACCAGACTCTGTTTAAAAAACTTCTACTTTAGACTGCATCCTCTTCCGTCTCTCAAACTTCTAAGTCAGTTGTGCGCAGGAGATATTTAGGTTTCATATAAAATAAACAACAGCAACTTGATAGAAAGCATAAAATAAGCTCTTTCTCTACTCCTGGCATATACAGTGTGTTGAGATCAAGTCTGATAAACACTTGACTGAGAAGAGTTCTGTTGAGTGAGTGTTGTTTTGGGGAAAGACAGTAAAGTCTGCTGTTTGCGTAAGGGCGCCACCTTACCGCATCTGGTCAGGAAACACTCCATGAGAGATGTGGGATGAAAGTCATCCCCCCAGGGGTTCTGGGGCACAAAGGGGAACTGTAGCAACTCGTAACATGCCTTAGCAGCTACAGCAGCTAAATTGGGGTGAAGGGCCCAACGTTTTTCTGTCCTCCTGCCTTCTCTTGGATGGGTGGATAAGAAAGTGTTAACTAAGTTCTGCCTAATTTACAGCCGCACTTGTTTTCTCCCATCTGGGATGGTTGTTCAACAAAGGATCGTGAGGACTCTATTAAATTGTTTGCAGGAGCATTCCATGTAGATATTGAAGTCTGTGTAACCTGGACAGCGTTTCCTAGGTAACTTGGACATCTAGAACTGAACGACCATCACACATGCTCCTCCTCTATCAGGCACAGCATTTCCAGCCAGTTACAGCTTTACTGTGGTCAATCATTAGAATAAAGAGTCTTGACGTGTAATAAGCAATGGCTTGAGTTCCTGAATGTGCACCAAATATCATGTTTGAGTGCTCTCACTCACAGGAGGGAGCATCTTACCTCTAAATGAAAAGGTGACTGTGAAGTTGTCCATTTGTGACCAATATTGGTGTAGTTAGGCCTGGGTGCAATTGAAGCTGCTCTCAAAAATGAAATATTGAACTGAGGCCTTCATTGCATATTCTTCGAAATAAAAAGAAAAAGGATGGACCTGTATTCCAAGTGTTGTTGATGCTATTGGCTTAGACATGTTCCCTTTATTGGGTCTGTTTTGCAAGCCTAAATTTGAGCCTGAAGAATTTCTCCATATAAATGTCTTAAGTATTGCAGTGGCACATCCATCACCTTTTTGCTTTTGAATTACAAAGATAACCTTAAGATATGAGCCTTCTACTGGGCACTGTGATACATACACAGAAAGGGTGAGCCTCCTTAGTGATGAAATCAGCCAATGCCCAAGAGGAAAGTAATAGGCAGAAAGGATAGGGTTGATGAAAAAATTGATTCTTTTCTATTAAACTGTACGTGATGTGTTTTTTATGAAGCAGGCATCAGCTGAAAGAAATATTTTTTCAACTAAAAAGAGATTGATGGTGAGGCAGAGGAAAAGTATATAAGGGATTAGGGGATAAATATGTGTCTTATTCCATTACCTTCTCAAATAATAAGAAGGTTGAAAAGCATTCCATTGTAGTTACTTCAAATGTTTACTTGGCCTTGGTGCTATTAAACCTTTTTAATGTTAATGGCCTTGTTTTTATTTTAAAGTACTTTCAGGATTCACATGTCATTATTTTCTCAATTCTAAAAGTTGTGTTGCTTATTTTCAGGTTTACCAAAGATGCAGGTCATTAAGAACTATACTGGAGTACCTCCCCCAGCTCTTCATGAAGGACCCCCACTGCATATCCAGGCAGGGGATACGGTTGAACTTTTGAGAGGAGATGCACACAGTCTGTTTTGGCAGGTACGATCCAAATGACAGCAGTTTGGTTTGGTTTTTGTTCTTACTTAATGGATGATTTATTGCTGCTTGAAGAATAAAGCTCGCTCTTTAGAAAGTGACGGCACGCTTTCAGTTTTAGAAATTTTACATGAGGTGGGGAAAAATATTTTTTATTAGCCTTCCCATGTTTACCAATGCCAAAGTGGCGGTGAACATTAGAACACTAAAGAAAAATGGGATCAGTGCTGTGAATCATAATTACCATTTTTATTAAAAATTCATACTTTGCCAGAGCATTTTTTCCCAAACCTAGGACCTGTGGGAGTATGATCTAATTTGCATTGCTTTAACATATTAACGGTTCATTTCAGGGAACCACCTAATTAACTTGCCAGTGGCCATTTCTGGCCATATTTGATTTGTGCCTACCCACAGAAATACTGAAGTTCTCAGAGGTGCTCTGGGCATTATTCATGAAATGTATGAAATGTGAAAAGTAAGTGATCATGCTGATGTTTGCTGGTGATGAAATCTCTCTTGTCCAGTAAGCCTATATTTGGTCAAAGGATTGTGTTAGGTGAGGGCAATATGGAATAGTGTTAAGATTTGATAAAGCTGGATGGTAGAACATTGCTGTTCATGAAAGTATTCTCAATTTACATGTGTATGTTAGAAATATATCCCAATAAAATTAAGGAGTTCGTTAAAAATCTATTGTGTGTTGAGGGGAAAGGGTGTGGGCTTAAGAGAAAGATTAGCACATAAGTGAAATTTGGTTAAGGGTGGAGAGAGCAGGGAAGAACTAGTGGATAATATTCCATTGTGTACATGTATAAATGATAGTTATTTCATTGGCTTAAAACTATTTATGGTCTGCCATTTTGTTACAGATGAATGCTCCTAAATTGAATATTTATCTCCAAGCACTGTAGCCAATGCTGGGGCCAATGAGTTTTCCAAAACCCATTATTCTTCTTTAGTAGGCTACCCTTCTCATACCTCGTTCTTTCCAAAAGTGGAAGAGATAGAATGGCGGACTGAAATTCTACCCACTCTTCAGTCCAGTCCCGTACATTCCACCCCAAAACAAAACATATAAGTGCCTGTGTACCTGTAAGATTGCTCTTACTCAAGACTTCTTTTTCCTCATGGTTTTTTCATCCCACATTTCATCAGCTGGCTCTTGACTCCTACATTTTCAACTCCATTCTCTCCGCTAGCTCCTTTTCTGTGGCAAACAAATATACTTAAGCTCCTCCCATCCTAAAACACATTAACTCAACCTACTGTCTTGTTATGTTAGTGTGGAAACTCCCTCTTCCAGTCTCAAAACTAAACTTCTTGAGAGAGTAATCTGTACTTGCTCTCTCTCTCCTTATGCACTATTTATAACATAGTCTCCTGCAGAAACTACTCCTACTTGGATCACTAATGCCACTTTAAAAAAAAGGGTTGCAATACATAATACACTGCACATATTTGAGTGTATAATTTGGTAAGTTTTGACAAATGAATGTACAAGTGAAATCATCACTAATCAAGATGATAAAAACCAGCCCCCAAAGTTTTTGTGTGTGCCCCTTTGTAATTTCTCCCTCCTGCTTCTACCTGTTGCCCTTCCTCAATCCCTAGGCAAGCACTGTTCTGCTTTCAGACTATGAGTTTACGTTTTATAGAGTACGTAAAAAAGAATTTTATATAGTGCATCATATAGTATATATTAGTTTTTGTACGGCTTCTTTCACTCATCATAACTATTTTGAGATTAAACCATGTCTCTTTGTGTAACAAAAGTTCTTATTTTTTTTAAAAACCACTTTATTGATTATATAATTGGAATACAAAAAACTATATACATTTAATGTATGCAACTTGACAGACTTGGAAATAAGTATAAATCCTTGAAGCCATCACCACAGTTTATGCCGTAAACCTATGCTTTACCTCCAAAAGTTTCCCCCTGCCCTCTTCATTTATTTTTTTATGTAATAGCGTTTAAGATCTAGCCACTTAGCAGATTTTTAAGTACATAACATGGTATTATTAAATACAGACTCTATGCTGTACAGTAGATCACTAGGACTTACTCATCTTGCAAAATTTGAACTTTGTACCCTTGGACTAATACTGCCTCATTTCCCCTTTACACCGGTCTCTGGCAACCACCATTCTGTTCTCTACTTCTATGTGTTTGACTATTTTAGATTCTTCACATAAGTAAGTATAGGCAAGGCACAGAAGTAACCCAATGTCCCTCAGTGATGTGTGTGTGTGTGTGTGTGTGTGTTTGTATACACATATACACACAATGGGATATTACTCAGACTTCCAGAAGAAGGAAATTCTGCCATTTGCAAAAGTGTGGAAGAACTTGGAGGATGTTATGCTAAATGAAACAAGTTCTTTCTTCATATTGCTTATTATTATTCTATGTATGGGTATAGCACAATTTATCCTTTAGCCTATTATCACCAGTTTGGGGCTATTACAAATAAAGCTGCTATGAACTTTCAGGTATAAGTCTTTATATGGACATATGCTTCATTTTTAGGTAAATACTGAAAGGTGAATGGGTGGATCACATGTAGATATATGTTTAACTTTTTGAGAGATTACCAAACTATTTTTCTAAGAGATTTGACTATTAACAGTCCAATAAGGGAGAAGGAGAGAGAAAGAATCTCAAGCAGACTCCCCACTGAGTGCGGAGCCTGATGCAGGCTTGATCTCACAACCCTGAGATCTTGACCTGAGCTGAAATCAAGAATCAGGTGCTTAACCAACTGAGCCACGCAGCTGACCCCTAGTTCTTAATAAAATACATTATTTCCACCTATTTTCTCCTAGCTTGTTGCCTGACTTTTTATTATCTTAATAATGTTGTATATATAACAGAAGTTTTTACTTTGTTGTAGTCGAGTTTAATTTATTACTTTAAGGATCATGCATATGGGCATTGTATTTAAGAAATATTTGCCTACCCCAAGGATACAAAGATATTCTCCTGCATTCTCTTCTAGAAGTTTTATAGTTTTAGGCTTTATATTTAGGTTTATAGTCCATTTTGAGTAATTTTTGAGTATGTGTTCATTTTTTTCAAGAATGGTATTCATTTTTTCGCATATGGATATCCTTGTGTTCCAGCACCATTTGTTGAAAAGACAGTATTTCTCCACTGGATTGCCTCTGCACTTTTGTAGAAAATCAGTTGTCTGTGTATGTGTTGGTATGTTTTTGGATTCTCTATTCAGTTCCACTGATCTCTCTCCATCTTTAATACAATGTTATTTTGATTATTGCAACAAATAATGTCTTAAAATCAGACAGTGTTGGTCCTCCAGATTTTTTTCTTTCCAAAGGTATTTTGGCTCTTCTAGGTGCTTTGAATTTCGTATGAATTTTGGAGACATCTTATCTCACCAATAGAAGGTTGCTGCAATTTTTACTGGGATTGTGTTGAATTATAGATCAGTATGAGAAAACTGACATCTTAACAATATTGAGTCTTCTGACCACTGAACATGGTATATCTCTCCATTTATTTAGGTCTTTAATTTCTCAGCAATGTTTTATAGTTGTCAGAGTGAAGGACATGCACATCTCTTGTCATATATCCTTAATTATTTCATATTTCATTTGATACTATTGTAAATGATGGCTTTAAAATTTCATTTTCTATTTATTGCTAGTGTATAGAAATATAATTGATTTTTGGAAATTGATCTTTTACCCTACAACCTTGTTAAACTCACTTATAGGAATTCTAATTAAATTGGAATTATTCTAGCAGATTTTTAAAAAAGATTTATTTTTGTGAGAGAGAGAGAGCAAGTGAGTGATGAGTGGGGGGAGGGACAGAGGGAGAGGGAGAGAGAGAATCTCAAGCAGACTCCCTGCTGAGCATGGAGCATGACATGGGGCTCGATCTCACGACCCTGAGATTATGACCTGAGCCAAAATCAAGAGTTGGACACTTAACCAACTGAGCCACCCAGGCACCCCAATTCTAGCAGATTTTTAAAATATAGACCATCAGGGGCGCCTGGGTGGCTCAGTCGTTGGGCATCTGCCTTCAGCTCAGGTCATGATCCCAGGGTCCTAGTTTTGAGCCCAGCGTCAGGCTCCCTGCTCAGTGGGAAGCCTGCTTCTCCCTCTCCCACTCCCCCTGCTTGTATTCCCTCTCTCACTGTGTCTCTCTCTGTCGAATAAATAAATAAAATCTTTAAAAAAATAAAATATAGACAATCATGTTGTCAGTGAATAAACATGGTTTTACTTCTTCCTTTGCAATCTGAATGCTTTCTGTTTCTTTCTTGCCTTATAACAATGGCTAGAACATCCAGGAAAATGTTTACTAGAATTTGGGAAAAGGTACATACTTGCTTTATTTCTGATCTTAGGAGGGGAAAGCATTAAGTCCTTTACCATTAGTTATGAGGTTATCTGTAGTTTTTTATAAATACCTGTTATCAAGTTGAGGATGTTCCATGCTAGGCCTAGTTCGCTGAATGTTTTTATCAGTAATGCATGTTGGATTTTACCAAATGCTCTTTCTGCATCAATGAAAATGATTTTATCATTTTTTAAATTTATTAATTTGGTGTATTACATTAATTTTCCGATGTCTAACCAATCTTGCTTTCCTGAAATAAACCCCAACTTGTTATGATATATTGTCCTTTTTATTTATTGTTTTCTTGTAATGTCTTTGTTCAGGTTCGGTAATAGTTTAACACTCAAAGAATGAATGGGAAACTATTCCTTTCTCAAATTTTCTGAAAGAGTTTTTTTCGAATCAGCATTAATTTTTCCTAAAGTGTTTTATAGAATTTATCAGAAATGCTCTTTAGACCTGGAGTATTCTTTGCAGGAATTTTTTTTTTTAATTACAGTTCAGTTCCCTTCATAAATATATGGCTATTCTGGTTATCGATTTCTTTTTGAGTGATCTTTGGTAGTTTTTGTGTAGACTCTAGCAGTGTCACCTCTCGTTTCTGACATAGGTAATTTGTCTTTGCTTT